TAGGGACGGCGCGGCGGCGCCGTTGTCAGTTCGTAGTAGAACGCAACCGGCGTAGGCCGCGCCGGGCCGAACCGGTCCTATCCGCGTCGGTCCACTTCTGCCGTCCCAGCTACGACCGCAACTTCCAAGTTCTTGCTTATCTAGTCTATAGGCTGGGGGAAGTCCTGTGTGTCATTTAATATGTCCCCGCAGTTTTGACGCTTGATTTCATGTAGGGGAGCACCGCCTGGGAGTAAAAAAAACTTGGTAAGACATTCTGAAATCATGGAAGGATAGGTGATAATTCAAAGATGGCGTTGAAGATGGCCGTCAATATCATGTAATTGACGCATAAGCTCGCCACTTATATTATGATAGGAGGTTGATTTTGTGTCGATCCCTATGTTTCATGGGTCGGGCTATCCATTGAAAAACTGATACCCGTATCGAAATGCCATTGCATCATTTGTTAAAATCTAAGATGCCGCCGAAAGAGACATCCTTATCATATAAACTGGCTATAACTTCTGCGCAGACTTATGATAGAAGGACGTAATTTTCGTGTCTATCCTAGTGTTTTAGGGTCAGGTTATCCAAGCTGAGATCTAATAAACGCAGATTAAAAGCGCACTGCATCACCATCAAAGCTAAGATTGGCCACCAATATGATCGTCATTTATTGACAACGTTTTGCACATATCGCTGCTAAATATACGCATTTACAGTAACATGATATTTATTGTAAGGTACACCTTGCTGTGAACACTTTGCACACAGGAACACACAACTGTCAACATGCGTCGGCAAAGGTAGATGGAACCTACTGGAGCAAGCAGGCCATCGTGATAATTGACATCCAAAGTCTGTAGTTCAGAGTAAGCACTCAACAGTTCATCTCTGAACTATAGGTGGAGTAAAAGACTCTGCGAAATATGTCCTGTAGCTGCGTGTCTAGTCGGTGGCAAGTCAATGACGGTCACAGACTTTGCTTTCAGCCTGGTAGCTTATCTCTGCTGAGTCGCTCTTCGTATCGTCGTGCAGTATCTTTGCTGCGACTTTCTTTCCAGCGTACATCGCTAGAATATTATAAATATTATCAATTTCAGTTTTATACTGCCTGATGATATCTTGTTTGCAAAATTTATTTTAATTGTAACGTTGTTAACACTAGTTTTGCAATAAACCTATTATCTATCTATCTATCCATCTCATACACGGCAAATTAGATGTCGGTTTAGCGTGAATGCTGCGAATGTAATCATATATGCATTGAAATGTTCACCAATTTGCTAACGAGCTTATATTTAATACTTCATAATTTCTGAGAGTTAGTACGCATTTTTATGAAATTCCATAATCATGAGGAGAGTTCTCTGCATGTAGATATAGGAGAGCTAATATGTTTTTTCTCTGCAGGAGAAGGTGGATCTAGGAGAGTTGATATTATGTTTTCTCTCTAGAGGAGAAGGTGGATCTAGGAGAGATGATATAATGTTTTCTCTCTACAGGAGAAGGTGGATCTAGGAGAGTTGATATAAAGTTTTCTCTCTACAGGAGAAGGTGGATCTAGGAGAGTTGATATAATGTTTTCTCACTATACCCAGCAAGTGTTTGTCTTCTCTAACGAGCCCACAGTGGAGTCTAGAGAGTTGATATTCATGTTTTTCGTGCTCAAGAGGAGAAGGTCGGCTCTAGGAGAAGATGATCTAAAGTTTCTCTCTCTCTCCGAGAACGTGAATCCTAGAGAAGTTTGTTGATATAACACATGTTTCTCTCTGGCAGAGCAGGTGGATTCGGGAGAGTTGATATACAGGTTTCTCTCTCTGGGCAGGAGAAGGTGGATCTGGAGAGCTTGATATACGAAGTTATTCTCTCTAGAGAGACAGGTGAATCCTAGGAGAGTTGATTTTCGCTGT